CAACAGGTTAAAATTCCTCCCAAACCTAAATGGTGGCTGGTCTGGAAGATTCCACAAGCAACAGGACAGATTCATAGCTTGTTAAGGGGGGTGGGATGGAGCTTAGAGATGATCCAGCCCCAACCCCCTGCCCTGGGCAGGGACACCTCCCACCAGAGCAGGTTGCTCAAGGCTTTAGCCAACCTGGCTGTGAACACTGCCAGGGTTGGGGCAGCCACAGCCTCCCTGGGCAACCTGGGACAGTGTGTCAAACCTGTTCCAGTGTCCAGAGATCTCCAACTCCCCTCACACAGCACAGTCTGTTTCTTAAAAACAATTATAAGTGTGCACATTCCTCTAATTTTCTCCAATTTTCCAAAGCAAATCTAGTTAGAGCAATTTAGCCTCCTATTACCTTGTTTTTATCACCCAATTAGTGATATTTATCTGTAGAGCTTTATGTTAAAGAAGAAAAATAATCTCAGGATCACATGCACAGCAAGTAACATACTTCCAATTCTTCTGGGATTCTTTTTGACTCCAGCCCTGACTTATCTCCATCCAAATTGCTTCAGGGCAGTTTCAGAAATTAACAGGGGAAAGAAGTTTACAGCCCTGACACAATATTGCATTGTTCAGTGGAACACCTGTGCACCTTAATTGTCTGGAATTAACTGGGTTTTGTTTTCACTTCGCTGTATCAGCTGCCCCAGAGGCTGTACCTGAACCTCCACCACGTGGATGGAATCCCAGCATCCCTTAATCTTCTTTGATCCATCTCCAGCTTTCTTAATGAGGATCACCCCGGCAAAACCATGATCCAGATCCCAGAGGTAGACAGAGGAGACTCCACCTTCAAAATACCTGCAGGATGCAATCCAAGAGGCATGTTAAAAGGAAGCAGGACCCGAGAACAATCTGAAACAAGCAGAAATATGTCCTAATAAAGAGTATTTTTTCTTGTCAGACAGCAAACTCTGCCCAGTTACACACCCAGAAACACAACACTTCAAATAATTTCATATTGCAGAGACTTTAATTACAAAAAAACCTGTACATTTCTCTAAAGGAGAATAAAAGTCTGGTGAGAACCAGAACTGGTTACAGACTTGAGCAAACAATTCCTCTGATGCCAATTAACTACAACAGCTGGTAAAAACACAAGCTACAAAGTGGGCTCAGAGTAAAGCTCTAGTTTACAGTTTGGTCTTTTTTCCCCCCCTCTTTGCAAAGTCTGGAAGTTCTTTACAACAAGGTTTGCTAATTAAGACAAAAGGGAGCAAGTAAGTAGTTTTCTGTTGCTGCCTCCAAAGTCTGTGTGAAGCTGAGTTATTGATTCACTGCAGAGAGCTGAGCTGAACCCGAGGAGCTCAGAGATGAGGGGACGCTGCTGAGGTTTGATTATTCCAACCTCAGCTATGGGATACAATAAAAAGCAATCCAGACTGCCTAAATCTCAGGTTTCTGGTAGCTAAAAGTGCACTCTTGGAAAACAACCAATGCATCGCCATCTGCAGAGCCCAAATCCCTCTGTGTAACACTAGTGCTGAGCTCCTCCTGTGCCAGATGGAAAATGCACCTTAAAATAATGCTGAACAACCCAACACTGTAGGAAGATGCACAAGGAGCAATTTTGGCTTCGAGAAAACCAAAACTGTAACCCACAGCATTTTACCATTCTCATTGTCATTTGCAAACAGCATAAGGAGTATTGTGGAAAAGGGAATACTCTTTCCTGGCACAGAACTCTCAGATCTCAGTGGTGAACTCATGTGGCAAAGAATGTCCATCCCCTGGGAAGAGCTCAGGAAAGGGAGAAAGTGACTTCAGCTGAGCCAGACCACTGATGACACAGAATTTGGGCAGTCAGATATTGCTGTTCTGAGCACAAACTGCTGTTCTGCAAGTGCATACACAAAGCAGACAAAACACCTGAGGATTCAATGTCCTGAGGAGAGCAAAGGCTCATCCAAAGGCAGGAGGAGCTGCCAGGACTGACAGTTCCCAGCAGCTAAGCTGAGAGTCAGACAGATGAAACTGGTTCCTGCCTCTGACTGTCACACAGACCTGCAGGTGTCTCCATGTTCCTCCTCTTCTGCAAGACAGGGATCACTCATCAGCAACCTGAAAAACTCTGTGAACCTTCCACCTCTGCCCTCGGTCCTACCAGTTGTGAATGGCACTTCACACTCACTTTGCTGTGCATTTTGCACTTCATGGATTAGCTTGAAGTGCTGTGGGCTCAAGGACACTAACTCAGCCTTCCCCCAAGTCAGGAGAAAAGACAGTGGGAAGTTACTGCCAGTAACACAGGTGAAGTTCAACACATTCTCTGCACTTACAGCCCAATCCAGTGTGCTGTTTCAGGAAGGCAAAGTCACCAAAGAGCCTCAGTTCTCTTTACTTGCAGATATCCAACCTGTATCCAAACCAGTGCTGACCTCAGGAGGGGTTAATGACCACATATTAACTCACCACAGCATCTTATTTTTTAATGGGTGACTCTGCTGCTCCTCCCCAAGCTCAGTGAGGGCAGTGAAGTAACCACCATGCACTGTCCTGGGACATTTGTCAAACCACTGGAAAAGCAAACCCCTTTGCTCCACAGGCACACCAAAGCCAGACTTGCAGCAGACAATTTAAACCTAACAAACCAACAAACACCCTTTTTATATCCCCTGGGGAACTCTCAAATGGATTTTGGTTAATGCAGTTAATGGGAATTCCAGTCCTGTAGTGAACCTCAGTTCCAATCTAAGTGACCCTTCCTTTGGCAGTGGGAATCAAAGGCCAGAGAGCAGCACTTACTGCTCATTTTCAGACCAAACTATAGATATTTAATATATTCTTCTTCACATAGAGAAGTGAACTCACTCAGAATGAACTGGCAGCCCCTGAGAACATTACAGTGTGCACAGACAGTTCCCCCATTAGCCACTTTATGACCTTGCTACGAGCATGAAACATTAATTAAGAGAGGGACAGAAACAAGAGTTGGGGAAATTTATCCTTACCTACTGTACTTTGATCCTAATGACATGAAACAGGGAAAAAAATCATTTTTATGTGGTGCACCTTTATGAGATTTTACATAAAGGCTTTTGTGGGTATTTTAAGAATGTGCTAAAATGTTGTCTGAAACCACATAAAACCATGTGAAGAACCTCCTGCCAGAACCAACAGTGCACACATGGAAACGCTTTGAGTTGCCTTTGTATACTTAATGAATCAAATATAGTATTAATATTGGTTTAAATACCAACATGCTATTCCAATAAAGCTGCTCTGCCATAGCCAGATCCACTCTCTGGAGCCTGGAAAAACAATGCCAGGGATTGAATCCAAGGCACACCGGGACAGACGTGAGCCAAAGCCTCCTCAGTGCCTCAGCACTGCAGGATCCCTCCAAAAACTCACTCCTCCTCCACAGGGAGAAAATACATACCATTGATCGCCACCTTAGATTTCACCTTTCCTCATGCAGTGCTGAAATGGGATTTCCGAACCCAGAATAGTCTTGTTTGGAGAAGGGAACATTCCTTAAAACCTGTTTTCTCCAAGTAAACTAAAGAGCCACAGGTTAATTTGCTGCTCCATAATAGAAACTGAGATGACAGACAGATTGGGAGGAATTTAAATCTGTATTCATGAGCTTGGATGTGCTGCAGGGAGACTGGACTACCTCCAAGAAACCCCTTCACCACAGACTAAAAAGCAGCACTTATTAAAATCCAAGCAGGAGAGGTACCAGCTTGGAAAAGGTTCTAGAAGGTATAAACTGGGATCCTTCTGTGCTGAAGAAAAGGAGAAGCAAAGCAGAGTAGAGACACAGAGTTACATGTAGGAGGTGAAGTGAAACACTTGGAAAGCACTACAGAGCTCCTGGATTGAACATCTCTTTCCCGCATGGCCTGTTCTGGATGCTCATGGAGTGTTATCCCTCAGCACAACAGCAGCTGGAAAAGGCAATCTGTCCTCTGCAGGAGCACAGAATTGTTAAGGCTGGAAAAAGACCCTGAAGATCATTAAATCCAACCATCAACCCAGCACCATGTTCACCACTAAACCACCACATCCACATGTTTTCTGAACACTTCCAGGGATGGTGACTCCAGCACTACCCTGGACAGCCTGTTCTAAAGCTTTACAACCATTGTCATGAAAAACCTTTCCCTGATATCCAATCTAAACCTGCCCTGGCACATCTTGAGGCCATTTCCTCTCATCCTGTCACTTGTTAGCTGAGAGGAGACTGACACCCACCTAACTACAACTGTCCTCTCCCAGAGCATCCAAGCAATCAGCAGATGTTTTATGAGATGTACAGGAGGGCTGAAGTAGGAGGAATTCATGCTGGGATAGCTCAGAAACATCATAGAATCATAGAATCAACCAGGTTGGAAAAGACCTGAAAGATCATTAAGTCTAACCCTATCGTGGTTACCAGACCATGGCACCAAGTGCCACATCCAGTCTCATCCTCAAAGGACAAACCAGTTCAAAGGACATGGATCAATCCAGGATGTACTTAGGGCTTACCTACAGACAAAAATTTGTTATACAACAATGAAAAAAACACTGGTTTATGGTTGCCATATCACTCTATTAGCAACCAAAACACTGCCAAGTGATATCACACTTGGGTTGGGCTGGAAGGGAAATTGAAGATCATCTAGTCCAGATGACATCCCTGTCCTCCCTTGGGGACAGTGTCCTTCCATCTCTGAGAAAATTCCTGCTCATAAAGCTGCCCAGGAAATACAACTAAAGGCCTAAGCCCCAATGCAACATTCATTCTCCTTACAGAACTCAGAATATCAGTTCACTCCAAATCAATTACAGTTTTAATGTCCTGATCAAACCCTGAAGTTTTATATCCTTTACTCATCAACCACAGAACTCCTGGAAAAAGCTGTTTTATGAAAAAAAAGTCAGACTTAAGACTGACCTACTTTACAAATGCAAGAAGAAAAGGAAATATTTAAGCTAAGAGTGATCCAAAGCTTTATGAAGTGTTTGAAGTTGAGGTGGGTGGAGACACAGGATGGAAATTTGTCTCAGGAACCTGAGCTGTATCCATGAAATAGAGGCTGTGGCCAGAACAAAGCTGCAACTTCAAGGGGGATGTGATAGGGGAGGAAATCCCCCAGCTTCCAGCACAGACCTCAAGAAAGGAGGAGAGATTAATCACTTTGTTTTACCACTAAGGGACAGAGCAGAAAAGGCCTCATGACTTCCCTGATAGCAATAGATGCTGGACCCTGCATGGAGAAAATGAGTTTCTACCACGCAGCAATAAAACCAAGCTCTGACTTTCAATTACACTTCAGAACTAAATCACTCATCCATAAAAACATTTGTGCCTTTTCCAGTCAGGAGCTGAGAGCCAGAGACAAAAAGTCTCTGCCTCATGGTTCTCACTAAGCCACAAACCTCTGATGCCAAAGCACCAACACCTGGAAGCTCAGCCTGGCCATGCAAACCTTCAAAAGGGTTGCACAGGGGTTCAAATTGGCTCATTAAAAGCAGGAAAATATATTTTCTTTATTCCCTAAAGGTCACATAGTTATTTCTTCCAGTTCCAGAAGTTCAGCAGAGAAAGGGAAATGTCTCCAGCTATTTAGATCAACAGACTTGCAAGAAAAGTGGCATTTACAAATCCTTCCCCAGAGGAAAATCCTGAGCATTCAGCTACACATGTTTTTACACAGTGACAATGACGAAAGTCACAATCTGGGAAGCTGTTGTCTAACAGCAACCCAAAGCACTACCTAAATCCAAGGTGAGGGAGCAGATATTCCAACTGTTATGGAAAGAGATGACTGGAATGGCAAGTGACTCTCAACCTGCCAGGACCTGAATGG